ACACAGCAGATGCTTTCCAAGATGAAGCAATCTTTAACAGACATTTTGCTGACGTATGTGTGCTATCTGGGGCCGCACTACTTCATCTCTGTGTCTGATTTGAAGCGGGCAAAGTGCTAAAGCTAACGAGCCATAGCTGATGAAAATAACCGCCATTTTTACCCTTATGGTCAAATATTGCACTGGAAACATAATTGACAGCTTTAACTTGTCTATACTGCCAAATTACCACGGTATTAGCGGGATAATGCACGGCTAGCTGTGCATTAAACAATTTTAATGCACTCTGCTGAGGTTCTTGGCCACCATGTTGTGCAATAAAGTAGTTTAATGCACAGCTAGCCGTGCATTATCCCTTACATATATGATTTTGGTCATATTGCCACCTCTAAGTCATTCATATCCTATTTCAGTTGCACTACTCAAAGTCCACATCCATCTCATGTATTTTATTTGGTCAAACCACAAGCTGTCACTGCCTCAAAGCTTCACTCTTGCCTACACACTCTGAAGGTTGATTGCTGTGTCTGAAATAAAACATGTCCCCCTCATTACTCATTAGAAATAAGCATGTTGACATAAAAGATTTACGTACACTTTATTATAATACCATTTCTTTGTGGGTCATCCATCAATCTGACAGCTTTGGGACTCCATAACAGAAGCATGCAGCATGGACGAGCCATTCTGGGTTTCTCAGAAGCAGAAGTTGTCATAATTGGGTAAACATCTATAGCAGTGAACGGGACACTACATCAGGTATATCTTCTTGCATTACCATTTGCTTATATAGCAAAAGAAAAACTCCACAATAGTGATTTCACGACTTTCAAAAAAAGAGGAAAAAATAGAGAGACATATGCAGAAGAGAGAACAATCCAGAAGAGAGAGCGATGCCAAATTTACCGTCACTCCCACAGCAACGGCATTATGTATAGACATGCAGGTAATATAATACAAAGAACAGTGTCATAAATGTGCACACATTAAAAAAAGGAAAAAATTTGCAGGATTTACGATGCTGTAGAGATTGAAACACATCATTGCAGTCTGTGGAAAGGGTCCAATTGAGCAGCCACTACCCATCACAAGTTGCTGATAACATACAGCAATAAAGCCCAACGTATACAACAGAAGTGAGCAGCATCACTCTCTCTCTTCCTTCGGCTTGCTCCTTTTATCAGGGGTCGCCACAGAGGAGTGATCCGCACAACGGATTTGGCATGTTTTACGCAGGATGCCCTTCCTGCCGCAACCCAGCCCTGAGAGTGCACGAAGTGAGCAACATCACTAAAATGTCAAAAGATTATAGAATATTTCCTCCTATCAAAAACTAAATATTCTGAAAGGCTGTAAAGGTTTCAAAGTAGAAACTGCAACAAAAGTGAACCATAACGTGAAAAAAAATACGCGATAATGTGATCACTAACACACAAGTTAGAAAACATTTGTTTCATTATTCATTCAAGCAAAGGCTCCATGACCCTCCACTCTGTGTTTAATAGAAACAGCCATTGTCAGAGCACCAGCACAGAATGATCTCTCAGAAGTAATTATTTTCCACACACATCCAGGGGACATGTTTGTGAAATGTTGCACACTTTCATGAGGTCTGATTCAGAGGTATGGCCTATTAGTTTGAAGTTTTCTTCAATCATTAAAGGTCCCATATTGTCAAAACTGAAATTTGCTGGCTTTTTTCACGATTACTGAGGTCTAGGTGCTATTTAACTACCATATAAGTTTCAAAACAGCAAAACTAGCTATTTTTCACGAACCGTTGTGACGTCAGTAAAAAGTTGACGTCAGAACTACACAGTCACCGCCTTCAGTCACCACCCCGAGCACCGCCCACCGTCCCACTCTCCTTTTGCCAAACCCCCAGACAACATCGCGTCCATGCCATTGCTGAGCAACAACAACACGGAAACATGTCGAAAAGGTTAACTTTAACCACGAAACCAGATCGGCCGACCTGTAACGTTACACTCACTCAAAGGATGGACGATCTGACGGGATTTTTACTATAAGGTGGATCACATCTAACGTGTATAGTAAAGACAAACTCGCCGTGTCTATCTAGTCATGATGAAGATGTATATACATTTCAATTTCAGCAGGCAACTATTTTTACAGCTACATTATTGTTCCAGCCACAATTAATCACAACAATGTATACACAATTACAAATGATTATATATAAATCGTCAGTTTGTTGTTTTACACACATGCACACAGACATTATTTCATACACGACATAGTCGTGAGATGCAAGAAACATAGACATATAATAACAAAAGATAATACTTTATTGAACCTTTTCTGATAAGAAGTGTGCATTTTTGACGATCGTTTCTGTCCAGTCTGCTCATTTTATCGCGTTTAACCACAGCTGTCGTTGGTTTTTTGTCTGGCAGTTTCACAAACACAGTACTCCCCCTACTGAAATGAGCAGAGTCTGTTTATTGAACTTGATGGATGTCTATTAGTAACACAGTTTGAGAATGTAGCGAACACAGGGAAAAGCAGTCTGGCTCCAAGCCAGTATACACATTTTTAGGAATTAAGCTTGACTTGGTAATAATGGGGATGCACCTCAAGTTCAAACACAGGCGCTCCATTCTCCAACTGCTATCTCAGTTCATACTGGCAATGCATCTTGTTTGCGACACAAACCTCACACCGAGTTGTGATATTGTGGTAATAGAGGCTGCACTCTTAAACAGAGTTAAGGACTTGAGACATTTTCAGCAAAGTAGACATTGACCTGTTTTACTGAGATGATGGAGCTGCTGTAAGCTCCCCTTTGGCCAATGTCCTCTTACAAGCAAAGGCTTGGATTCACAACCTGGGTTGTGGTATTCACATGTCTGGCCACTCAGAGGAACTTGTCAGACAATATCTGGTGTTCTGTGCAGTATGTGAATCTTGGCAGAAGCATATGCCTATAGATGGCCATTCTGTGGACAAAATGGCTTGGTGATCATATTCTTAGAGGCGATGAACGACATAAGCTCTTTGTAAAAGGAGTTGGGAAGATAGGTAGTGTAAAAACAGAAGAAGAAAGAAGACATCTAGGTTATTAAACTACAAATTATGAAATTGTATTTTTTTCACTAAAATTATGTTGCTGGAAGAGAAAAGAGGCAAAAGAGGCAATGTCAAACAGTTACATTTATGCATTTTCTGGAGGACATAAAATTCATTTATTGCAGCTGTTGTACAACCCCAAATCAGTAAAAGCTGTTTTGTAAAATGCAATTAAATCAAAAATCTGAGATTTGTTAAATTTCATTAACTTTTATTTAATTGAAAAAAGAATCCAGAAAAATCTGCTGCTGCATCAAGAAATGTATACGTCTATACTTCAATTCTATGCAGTGATGCCGCCGGGTTCTCTGGGCCAGAGCTCCTTTCAGATAATCAAAAATAAAAAATGCCATAAATTCCCCCAAAACTACACAACTGTACAGTAAAACATGAATAAACAGTGTTATTTGTAAAAAAAACTAGAGTTACAAAATTGGATTGTTGTTGTCCTGTGTAAGCAAGCATGTTTTTTAGAGGTGGAGTAAAATGAAGTGAAAATGAAATGAAAAGTGTCAATTAATGCACCATTACATTTAGATCTGCTCATGCTTTTTTTTTTTTTTTTGCGTTGTGTTGCGCATTATAACCAATCACACACGATTGTGTTGACATTATGAATGCAACGGGTCAATCGAGACTTTCAGATGAGTCATCCTGAAACACTGGAGTTTTGTTCAGTGCATGAATCACTGAATTAATTCTGCACTCTCCTGAATTCTCTCATCAAAAGGTACACCACGGACCAATGCAAGTAAGAGATTAATTTGACAGTGTAGACAGCTTCACTGATTAGAATGGGAGTTCTTGAGAGTGCTTAAACTCTGGCTAGACTGAAGTCAGTCATAAGGTTCTTTGATAATTCAAATGTTCTTTTCTTGCTTCCTGTACCTAGATTTTATTCGCTGCTTGCATGTGGAAAATGAAAGTGTAACTTACAATGTTTATTTTTTTTAATTAAATTGTGATCACGTTAAATAGTTTGTCATATTAAAATATTTTATGACATGACACCCATCTGGTACGTGCCTAAAATGATGGGTTTGTGATGTGAGTTATTAGGCTACTTTTAGCCTTACCCTGGAGTTGGTTCACCCTCCACCTATGCGTCTGAGTGAGAAAGTACTTCTGACTTGCACTTTTTACAGAATGTTTTTTTTTTTTTTTTTTTTACTGATTTGGTTTGTATTTGTGCTGGTCTGAGTGTTAAAGCATATGCCTATGCAACTAATATTATTCCTTAAACCCTGTTTGTTATTTATTATCCTAACTTTCCCCCCTGCTTTCAAGTCGTCACCTTTTATTTATATAGCGCTTCAGAGATTCAATCTAACAAAACTGAAAGAAATCAAACTTGACATTCATATTTTCTCTGTGGTGCTTGCCCTCAAAACAGACCTTATGTTTTTACATATATATTGATATATTAATTTACATTTAATTATGATTATGAAAATCTTGCGATTTTTGTTTGAATTAAGTTGATAATTTATTTTGTAAGTAGCGTTTCTAGTCCTCCATAAAGTAGTTCACTCCATTAATTGGTGCTGGCTCATAAAAGCCCCCCAAAAATACTGTTGATATACAGGTTTAGTGTATTTTCAACACGTTCTCTTTTATAGAACAAAAGCAAATCTTCAGACAATGTCAGAGGCTTTCAGATTTGCTTTTCTTTGACGTTACCAGTTTTATTTTAGCCAAAAATGTGGTATTGCAAAATAAGTATTCATGCTTACAAAATAGCAAGTGCGAATCAAATTTGAATTTCCATGGTCAACATTTATTATTGAATCCTGTCATGCAATATTGACTGGTTGCATGAAGCAAGAAAGTTTGTCAAAGTTGTTTAGACATATACAAAAAAATTGGTGGAAAACATTTTTTTTTTATCAAAACCTTTATTCAAACCATGCTCAAATGATGCTAAAAATAATACATGCTGTATTACCAAGGTTAACTGTAAAAACATTTTGTCTCTCCTTGCTGGATCAGTGATCATTACAGCTGTCTCAGACGTGTCCTCTTATGACACTGATAGACTATACACATGACTACTCTAATGTTTTTTTGGTTTGCAGGATGCAAAATATATATTCTCATGTATGCACATCCCGGTTGAATTGATCGTTCTCTACAATGTCTGTTGTGATCAGGGTCTCTGTGCTGATGCTTGGCTGGAAACACCAGGGCCTTTGTCTGTGATCACAAAATAATTCCTTCCTCTCTGAGTGATGGCTGACAATAGCGGAGTAACTGGACCTTCAGCCATGCCTGCCAAAAGAAACATAAATACTTTATTAACTGCAGTGAAGCAAAAAAACAAAAGCTGAGGGCCCGAGTGGGAAGCATAGGCAATTTCAGACAATTTTGACTTCTGTCAAGTGAAAGGTTTCTGTCACCTCTCACCTGAAGCAACACAGTGGCGCAAGGAATCTAGCAGACTGCTGCTTGAGAATCTGACCACCCCTCTGAAGAACTCCTCTCTGTCACTGAGGGTGTGGTTGCCATTTCCCCTGTACCTTGTCTCAAGCTAGGAGAAAACAGAGGATCCATGTAGTAAAGCCCATTTATGAATTTCAAGAGGCTTGTTTAGGATTGTTTGTTGTGGTTAGTTGAAATGAAATACATGTAATTTTATATAACAAATAAACTACTGATATTCAATCTAAAGGTGGTTATGTGAGATCAGCGGTTTACACACTCACTCTATACACTGCTGTTTCTAGCTTTGGTGAAGGGCTCTGTCCAAATGCCTCACAGGACATCTGATGTCTCATCTCTTCATGGTCACTGTGTTCCTTTCCAATACAGGGATCTGTAAAAAAAGACAAGGAAAGACCAACAAAACTACATAGATTAATCATAGTTAAGTTATATCACAGGATTTAACTCAAGGATATATTACATCTATTCACTCACTGCTTTCACAATAGCAAAGCATAGCACAGTGATGAATTTAAATAAGAATGTCTGCTAACACAACACAAGTTCCGTAAAATGTATTGAGGGCAATCTGTTATGAACAAATTTTATTATAGTATTTAAATCTGATATCTGACTGGAATGCTCTATTTAGTTATAAACTTATATCTAGTGTGCTTTTAATTTATGCCTTGGTTCACGATCCTAAAGCTCTCATTGCGAATTGATACACGTTTTCTATCTCATTTATCATTATCATTTTCTATCTCTATCTATAGCATCTCAATTCTTTGTGGAGAGAGATTATCCACATTTATCACCTCACATCAACAGCTTTGATTCTTACGTAAGATACACAAAAATAAAAACATGTACATACGGGATGAAAGGGTGTTTCTTTCCTGTGGGATCCTTGAGTGTGCATTTGGGAAAACCTATCAGTAAAAAAAATACCAAAAAATAAATAAATAATAATTAAATTAAAAATAAATAAAAATACATGAACTAAGTTTAATGTTTATTATGCAAGTGAAATTTTCAAGCATATACTTTGCTACTTTGAAAAATCACAAACAACATAATTCCTTAGAAAATTCTAAATTTAACAATATTTTCATTCTCCAATATTGCCTTCAATGCATTCTTGACATTGACATCTTTGGAACTAGACAAACCACATTAGGAAGTGATCAGGGTATGTCCACATTCTAGTAGGCAGAACAACATAAATGGAAATTATGTCATCTTTGGACTAAAAATGAGACAGTGAAAAAGCAGAGGTACGTTCCATTTGACTGTAAGTGGACTTCACAGGGTATTCCGCCATCTTAAGTGAGATTTCAATCTGAAGGGAGCGAACATGTTCAGTTCGAAGGGCACTGCGAACGGCATAGGGAATAAGGGAACATCGATTCATCACTTAACAGGAAGTGGAGAAGGAAAATCACCCAACTGTCATTGCGCACCGCGTCACCAGTAGAACTAATGATGGAGGAGAGCTATTGAAAGAGTTTTTTTAAAGGCTGCAATGAAAGGGGTTGCAATAAATGTTATTATTATACAAATTAGAGTATTTATGAATGGTTATGGCGATGTTACATTTGCATATTGTATTGTATGACGAGGTGAAACTAAGTAAAACCGGTGAGAAACAGCTGAGGCTCTGTCAATTTTTATTTTACTATATTTACCTCAAGTAACGTTATGAGGCTGCGTGTGGGAAAGAAAGTATGAGACCACTACAATCTGTTAACAGTCTAAACATTAAATTTTGACTACATTTATTAGATACATAATCGTATATGTATTTTATATATAGATTTAATTTTAAAAGTCAAATAATTGACAATATTTATGTTATATTATAATCTGCGTGACCCCGTCATTGCCTTTCTTTGATGACGTTCCAGGGCATTCCAAATGAGCGATTATTGTCAGCGAAGTCAATTTCAATGGATATCCCGTGCTTAGGGAGTAGGGAGCAGTGAACACTGTGTAGGGACCCTATCAATCGGACTGCAACATTTGTCCTTTGTGGTGTATTCTATGGTGTAAAAATATGCTTGAATTATTCTTTTTTTTGTTTAAGTGCATCACCACAACTAACAAGTTAATTTTGATAAACTTCACTATGAAAATGCAAACATACAAACAAACACATGCAGTTAATTAGGCTGAATATTTTTAAAATCAAGGTAAATTTTATTTATAAAGTAAAGCACACATTTGGATTTTTTGCCACTTGGAGAGCCCTGATGGGTTACCTGCTGATAACGTCTCAGAAGTAAGTCCCTCATTGCAGTGAGACTCCTGGTGCTCAGGTGGCCGTCCTTTATAGAGCCATGTTTAGTGGCTATTACTAATGCCTATGAACGTGAATGAACAAAAACACAAAAATGAGATTTTACTTTTTTGTGTGGGGAGAAAAAAAAAATTCCATTGATCAAATCCGTTGAGCATCAAGTTGCCTCGACATCTGGTTATACACTACAAATTAAAGCAAAGTCGAACAAACAAACAAAAACAAACATATCACACCAAAAAAGATGGCTAAGGAAAGCCAAAAGGATATACATATCAAATGTCACCTGACAAAGAAATATCTTGTGTTTGGCCATGAGGTTGGATATAAACACATAGGAAGTGTGCAGGTGGTGCACAACATAAGTTGGCTTAAGGTGGTTGGGTTTGCTGAAGTTGTCTCCCCATGCAATCCGAATCCATATAGCCTCATCCTCATGTTTCTTCATCTTAATGGAAATCTTCAAAAGCAAAATCAAAAGCTTTGAATTAATAGACTACTAAGTGACGTTACTTTGAATTCTTAAACTGAAAAAAGTTTAGCTGGATTTGAAAGCTTAAATGCCAAATGAAGTTGCGTTATTACATGCCGAATGACCCCATGCAAGTGTGCCTTAAACTGCTCTTTAAACTGTGTCAACTCTACACAAACTGCATCATCTGTGGAGAAAACGAAAAGGAACTGCTTTAGACAATGATTCATTTCTCTAAACAAGTCAAAAGAACCGTACACTTAACATGTACCAAGCTATGCTCATTGTACATTCCTTCAAATCAATTTAACAATGAAATGCGTAAATAAAACACTCATACCCTGTGCCTCAGCAAGCTGGCATGCATGCCAGGTGCCTTGATCAGGGTTTTCTATATGATCTAATGGAAGAAAACATGTCAAGCTCAGTGGGTTAATTCAGATATTTACTTTTAAATTACAATAAATGTTTGTATTAACAAAAAAGTCAATTTTACTCACAGATCATTTCCAAATTAGTGATGTGCTTCAGGTTAAGTCTGTTCTCCTACAATAGGGAGAAGGAAAAGAGAGAGAGATTTTAAACAATCATTTTAGTTAACGTTTACTCCTATATCTAAAACTCGCTGCCTGTTCTGATAGGAGTCCCAGAACCAATTTAATAATAATAATAATAATAATAATAATAATAACAAATCCAAATGTGTTGCTTCATTATTAATTTTTTAATCATAAATTCACGACATCATAAATTCAAAACACCGCTTTGCAGATAATATAGAAGTCTGCTGGATGACAATGTACTATTACCATATCCTGGATAACAATCCTATTTCTTGCCTTTTTTTCCCCTGTGGAGTAGGATTTTTTTTTTTTTTTTTTTTTGTAAATCAAAAGAACGATTCGCGAATAAACAAGAAGAAGAAGAAGAAGAAGAAGAAGAAGTGAAGGGAACGCAATTTGTTCAGATTCAATGGCATCATTTTCAAGCTTGAAAACGTTACAGTCATGTAGGAAAGATACACTGATATAGATATTGATTCTTTTATATAGAATAAGTCAAATGGGAAGTGTAGTGCAATTTTTATGTGTACCAGCGCATGTAGGGATACGAGGGAATGAAACAGCAGACAGAATGGCTAAAGAAGCAATTAAAATGGATAATATTAGCGTTGCAGTCACTTTAAGCAGGGCAGAAGGAAAGTCTGTGATTAAGCAAGTTTGTAGGAGTAAATGGCAGAACTACTGGAACTCATGTAAAAAAGGAAGAAATTTTTACAAAGTACAAAGTAACATAAAACAAGGTAAAATTAATCAATATATAAATAGGAAGGACTTTATTATATATACAAGATTAAGAATGGGTCATACTAATCTTAATGCAACACTTCATACTATCAGAAAACATAATATATATATATATATATATATATATATACTAGATTAAGAATGCACCATACTAATCGTAATGCAACACTTCATATAATCGGCAAGCATAATTCTGGTTTATGTAAAGCATGTCAGGAAATGGAAACGGTTGAGCATGTTTTGATTAGATGTAGAAAAAAATATAAACAGGAAACAACTGAACTTATAAGAGATATGCAAGCTTTGGGCATTTTGGAATTTACCTTATGTAATATTTTAAAGGCAGGAGTAGAATTTAATAAAGTAATTACAGCATTAATGAAGTTCTTGAGAAATAGCGGTCTAAAGAACAAAATATAGAAATCTTCTTTGTGTTCCATCTTCGTCACACTCCAGTGCAGTAGGTGGCGGTATGCACCTTTCCAGTCGGTTTGCAACCCGCCAATAAACTTACAGAAGAAGAAGAAGAAGAAGAAGAAGAAGAAGAAGACGACGGGAACGCAATCCATCCCAGTAGGTGGCGGAATATGCACCAAAAGCTGCATGGTTTGCCAACCGCCATAAAACATCAAAAGAAGAAGAAGAAGAAGGGAACGCACATAAGCTGTTTTTTTTTTTTGCATGGGAGCTGAACACGCAGCAGCCAGAAATACAGCTTGGGTGAACCCGAAATAAAATTAACTATAAAATAAAATAAAATATGAATAGAGACGGGACTATCATCCATGTATGAATATAAACAGTTGGTGGCGGTATGTGCCTATGGTGCGGAATACGCCAAAAATTCCAAAGAAGAAGAAGAAGGGAACGCAATGCACCATAGGAAGGCACCACATATGATACGTAATAATTAGTTGGATAGTGTGGTTTTAAAACGGGTTATTGCATTACAACGTAAATAACTGACATCTCTGTCAGACTATTAAATATATATGAGGAGCTGAGCAAAATACTTTTCTGATTCACTGTAAACACGTGAACTGTTCTGCCCTTCACGAGCAACAAACAGCTGGATTGGAGTAACTTACTTGATTTACAGAGCTGTCAATTCAGCCTCTGTTCTCAGACGAAACGTCTATAAGACCATTGGTGAGCTGATAATCTTTAATAACTTCTATGTGTAATTGACTGCTTCTGCTAACGTAGCAGTTATGGCAAAACTTTTTTTTTTAAATAATAAACAAACACAAAAGATACATTTGTACAGTTAACACCACCGAAAAATAACTATGGATAAAGGTATAAAGTGTGTGACATATCAACACGAAACTAATTAATTAAAAAAGGTAATGACCGTGTACTTGAATGTCACTTTAGTTACTTTATTAGTTATCACGCATTTAAAAGAAAATGTCCACACTTTTTCCCAGTCATTATTACTAACGAAGTTCTCTCAGTACAGCACCATATATGGAACTGTTACAAGTTCTTTTTGAAAAAAAATTCACAAGGGTTTCAGATCAATTTCCACTATTTGTTATGTTGCAGCCTTATGCTGGAATGCTTTAAATTTTAAAATATTATCAATCACAATACACCATTCAGATTTGTGCTTTTAAAAGTATATTAATAAAGCATTTTAGCGTAACTGGGAGAAATTTGGATTAGTGCTTAAAAGGGTCATATGATGCTGCTAAAAAGAACATTATTTTGTGAGTTTGGTATGATGAAATGTGTTTATGCGGTTTAAGGTTCAAAAAACACATTATTTTCCACATACTGTACATTATTGTTTCTCCTCTATGCCCCGCCTTTCTGAAACGTCGATTTTTACAAAGCTCTTCGCTCTTAAAGCGAGGTGTGCTCTGATTGGCCAGCTATCCAGTGCATTGTGATTGGCCGAATACCTCAAGCGTGTGACGGAAATGTTACGCCCCTTACCATACTGTGATGCCTTGTCCCGGCCGGAGCGACGAGACAAAAACAATAAAACCCATTATAAACGAGGCATTTGTTGCATCCAGTGGGGACATAATTACGGATTATAATGACTTATACTGTCTTTTTACGCATTGCGTAAACATAAAACCATGTCTGCATTTGTGATCGGAGAAATGACAAACAACAAGCGCTACTCTACACTGCTCAAAATTCGCGTTTGAATAGTTTACTTCAAATTCTTTAAATATAAAAAACGTACTTGCAGTCTTTGAGTCAGAACAGCCGGCATTGTAGTCTACTCTACCAGGATCAGGAAACAGTCCTCCATAAAATGTGCCTCTGTTCTCAGACGAAACGTCTATAAGACCATTGGTGAGCTGATAATCTTTAATAACTTCTATGTGTAATTGACTGCTTCTGCTAACGTAGCAGTTATGGCAAAACTTTTTTTTTTAAATAATAAACAAACACAAAAGATACATTTGTACAGTTAACACCACCGAAAAATAACTATGGATAAAGGTATAAAGTGTGTGACATATCAACACGAAACTAATTAATTAAAAAAGGTAATGACCGTGTACTTGAATGTCACTTTAGTTACTTTATTAGTTATCACGCATTTAAAAGAAAATGTCCACACTTTTTCCCAGTCATTATTACTAACGAAGTTCTCTCAGTACAGCACCATATATGGAACTGTTACAAGTTCTTTTTGAAAAAAAATTCACAAGGGTTTCAGATCAATTTCCACTATTTGTTATGTTGCAGCCTTATGCTGGAATGCTTTAAATTTTAAAATATTATCAATCACAATACACCATTCAGATTTGTGCTTTTAAAAGTATATTAATAAAGCATTTTAGCGTAACTGGGAGAAATGTGGATTAGTGCTTAAAAGGGTCATATGATGTTGCTAAAAAGAACATTATTTTGTGAGTTTGGTATGATGAAATGTGTTTATGCGGTTTAAGGTTCAAAAAACACATTATTTTCCACATACTGTACATTATTGTTTCTCCTCTATGCCCCGCCTTTCTGAAACGTCGATTTTTACAAAGCTCTTCGCTCTTAAAGCGAGGTGTGCTCTGATTGGCCAGCTATCCAGTGCATTGTGATTGGCCGAATACCTCAAGCGTGTGACGGAAATGTTACGCCCCTTACCATACTGTGATGCCTTGTCCCGGCCGGAGCGACGAGACAAAAACAATAAAACCCATTATAAACGAGGCATTTGTTGCATCCAGTGGGGACATAATTACGGATTATAATGACTTATACTGTCTTTTTACGCATTGCGTAAACATAAAACCATGTCTGCATTTGTGATCGGAGAAATGACAAACAACAAGCGCTACTCTACACTGCTCAAAATTCGCGTTTGAATAGTTTACTTCAAATTCTTTAAATATAAAAAACGTACTTGCAGTCTTTGAGTCAGAACAGCCGGCATTGTAGTCTACTCTACCAGGATCAGGAAACGGTCCTCCATAAAATGTGCTGCACACATCTGAATATTTGAGTTGAACTGTTCTGGAACAGTGTTGTAAATACAACTTAACCACTGATTTCTAGTCGTGTCCATTTTTGGAAGGCCAAACAAAGTAGTTTTGCTTTCACAATGAAACACATGGCGGGCTAGAGTGAGCGGAGGCGGGCGGGCTTGAGAACGGTGCGGCCAGTGGATTCGACGAAGGAGGGCTTGCGGCAACCACATGTGACGACCCCGGGCTCAGTGACCTAGACGTGGGGGCGTGTTAGAACGAGTCATTTTAGGTAGGCGTGGTTGACTCTTAACTTTTATAAAGAATATCTCTTTGGATTTGAGACTTTAGTCTTTGCAACTTTACAGATCTTCTTTATGCACCAAGAGCTTGTAACACTTCAAAGAGAAAGGAAAAATTGAAATCGCATCATATGACCCCTTTAAAACCCTTTGCAAATCTTTTTAGATAATTTGTAAAGGTTTTGTGGTATCTGTGGCCATCTGCTGGACAAAATGATTAATAGCACGTAGCAAACTGTTGTGTCCCATTCATGGTCCCATTACAGCAACTTGTTTCACATCACATCTCTTCTTTGTCATGATCATCAGATAGATGGATTGATAGATAAACGTTGTTCTCGAAGTAATTCATTTGTTTGAACATATTGGCACTAAAATAAACATAAATTGAAATTATTTTACACTGTGCAACTGGGGAAAAATTATGCAAGTGTTTCATAAGTTTCCATAAACAAATACACAAGTCAATCAACATTTTTTGTTTTAAGAGATGCTCCGTGACATTACACTGTGTTGCCACTAGGACTAAATACTCTTTCAGGTGGGGAACTAGTTGCTGGAACACAAAAGCACTTGTCTAGTTTGCAGAAGGAGTCAAATTGCATTTCAGTGCCGTCTTTGGCACAATACATAGCACTAGTATGTGTTTGAGGATAATAACTTTTATGGTGACACGGTGCAAGTAAGTTTGCAACAAAGCAGTCTATGATTTACAGACACAAAACGGGATTTTTATACGTAAATAGTTAATAAATTAGGTGTTAACTAATAACCCTTGATATTCATAAACATTTCATATTGTACAGTCTTAAACCCAGGGTTAGCATTCTTTTTTGCATATTTGTGATGTCATTGATGAGGATGAAAGCAGCACCCTACTTTACATAAAAGCTCTAGTGCTCATATTATAGATTGCCAACTGTACTATCAAGTTTTCCTGACATTTCTGACTATAAATCTATGAATTAAATGGTCTCTAATTAATGTGTTTTGTCCACCACTGTGTGAAAAGTCCTCAAGAGTATATACATTTAGAAATAGAGTTGAAGCTCTGATGCTTGGCTTTGGTGTTTTGATTTTTTTGGACACAAGTGTCAGAGCTTCTGTGTCCAACATAACAACTAGTGAAAAGTGACTTTGCGGTCTTTTGTCTTGAAGAGAATTGTAAAGTCATATTAACCAACAGTTCTGTGAATGCCACTTTCATGTCTTATTTATATAATACATTTTGAATTTGAGTGTATTGTATGGATTAATTTTAATAAATGTTTTCCTCTGTTGCAGGTAAGTGTCCCAGATTTCAGAGGATTTTAGAATGAGTGATGGGATGGGGAGGCTGTAGTATCCTTAATGTCATGTCAAATTTCCTAATTTGTTTTCTGCAGTGATAAACTAATATCATTGGCATGATAATCAACCTATTTTTTTTAAATCAGCAGATAACTGAGCCAGATTTACAGAAGTGTCAGTTTCGTTAATGAATAATGCACAATTCACATTTTCGGTTTTCAAATATGAGTGAATTTAAATTAATGGAATAGTTCACCCAAAAATAACAATTCTGTTATCATATACTCTCATTTATGTTGATGAAGACTTCATTTTCAGAAAACAAATGAGGATATTTTTAGTGTTCTCTAATAAATTATGTCCATCCATTGAGAGTCCATGCAACCAAAACCTTTAAGCCTCTATATATATATATATATATATAAAAAAAAAATGTAAAAATGATTCATGTGAACTAAGCTGACTTTATATGAGGAACAGATTTAATTTACTTTTAATTAAACATTGATCTACACATAAATAAAGCTCATCAAATATGCAACCTCACTGCTTCTTGCACCTCAAGCACAGATGAGCTTCCATGTTTACCATCTTTTCAGAAGATGTTTGATTCATTTTATGTCCATCCATTGAGAGTCCATGCAACCAAAACCTTTAAGCCTTTATATATATATATATATAAAAAAAATTTTTAAAAATGATTCATGTGAACTAAGCTGACTTTATATGAGGAACAGATTTAATTTACTTTTAATTAAACATTGATCTACACATAAATAAAGCTCATCAAATATGCAACCTCACTGCTTCTTGCACCTCAAGCACAGATGAGCTTCCATGTTTACCATCTTTTCAGAAGATGTTTGATTCATATGGATTGCATGTATTTTTGTACAATGTAACTACAATGTATTTTTTTGAAGAGTGAATGTTTGGACTTTCAATGGATGGACAAAAATTACGAGAGCATATTAAAAATCTTTTAAATTGTGTTCCAAAAGATGAATTGAAGTCTTATGGAGTAAACAATAACAGATTTTTCATTTTGGTCAAATTGTTTTTAAACTGTTTGTATAGTACTGAAAAGTCTTAAAGTCCGCATGAAATCAAAATTGACTTTATTAGCACACATTGCTAGTCTTGATGTGAAGTTGTGAACAATTAATCCGTGCAAGTTAATCCGCTGAAAAAAAAAATTTGTCATGGTAATCTTTAATCAAAATCTGAACATTTGCTTCCGCTCTGGAATGGCATTCCTTCTCTGATGAAGTCAGTTTGACGGCTTGGGCAGAATATACTTAAACACACACCTCCAACCGTTATTAGTTGCTATGAGTGAGAGACAGAGAGGAGGAGCTGGAAATACGTCACTACACTGAAATAAAGCTGGCATCAACTTCCGGTTCACGCAGACTTTAAAAACATTTTGTTTGAAGATGATTATTTATATCTTTGTCCCACACACCATCATAGAATCAGGGATTACATGAATGAACAAAGGCAATTGAGACAGCATAAATCCATAGAAGAACTAAGACAACTTCTCCAAATCGGAGAATGATTTACCTGGAAAGTACAGTATTGTGAAAAGTTTTAGGCACTTACTTTTCCCCCCTCCCTCTTCTTCATGTTGGCCTTACTTTAATAATGATAGTCACCAGCAGGGCAAGTGCTGTCACAGCTTGCAAGACATACAGCCTTAACTCAGGATGCACCCTGATCTGTCACCCCATCTACATACTGACGAGTGCAATCAACTTATAACACTTCTCAAACAGTGCCACAAGGAGGTATGGAAACATCATGCACTCATGCAAACATGCTTTTCAGAGTGAACTTTTCACCTCCTTAATTGTACAATCCACAAACAATGCAAAAATGCACAATCACCTGAAAATTTAATTTTGTGAATGAAGCAAACCAAGAAATGAAATGTGTCATCATTTGCCTCATCATTTTTAGCTTAATGTAATTTCATTTTTTCTGATAATCTGTTATAAAACCTGTGCACAAATGAGAGTGTTTATCTTATGTTTGGTTTGAAAACAGGAATGTAAGTAATTATTGTCTGGCTCTGTCTATAGCATAACGTCCTCAAGTTCTTTGGCACATGTAATGATGTGGACCGTGCAATGCGGGACTGTCTCAAGAAAGAGGTGAGGACATGAGACTTTGGAGTTTGTGACTCCTTTTATTCCATACAAATACACACGTTTATTATCAACTCAAATGCTTGTTTTAAGTCTAGAAATCATTTTACCTTAGGCACTAAATCAAAAGATTTGTAAAATTAGTCTCTAAGTAAACCTCTGACTTGTCTAGCTGTCTTCGGCTAAATCATTTGCCTCTCTATTTGTCCACACAGTATCAGGCAAAGAGGGAGCGCAGCAAGGCCCACGCAGAAGAAATGAGACAGCGTTTAAAAGAACAACCAAAAGAGCATCCCTAGTATCAAACATCGCCCCCTTGGAGAACAAAACTACTCCAGACATGAACTAGTTTCTGGTGTTAGGGCGCTTGGATACTTTAAATCTGGAATGCTTTTTTGTGAGGATTAATTTATTTTGACCCTTGCAGTAAATAAGGTAGTAGAGCAAGTTGAAGATGAAACTTAAGTTTATTTAATAATGTTTAATTACAGGCTGTGAGCTGTATCCCAGATGTGACCTGATCTGGAGATTGGGTCTGAAACTAAACAATGTCAAAATTTTGATTGTTTGAACTCCAATTAAAAAAGTTCAAAATTAACATTGTCATTAGCACATTTATTGGCAGCTTGTCTACATTAAGATATTTTCATTTATCAATTACTAATACACTAAAGAGCCTACATGTCCAGTCAGTTGAATTTAAGATATTGTCAATTAGAGAAAATCAATATACCAAAGAGGATTCCAATCAAAGTGCATAAACATCTCAAAAAGGGATGTAAATGTAACTATTGCAAATGCAAATATGTTTGCCAATGTGATTTTTAATTTTTCTAAATTAGTGCATATTTGGTAGAGATTTAAAGGAATAGTTCACCCAAAAATGAAAATCTGCTGAAAATGTACTCATCCTCAGGCCATCCAAGATGTCATTAAGTAATTGAGTCACTGGCTCACAAATTAATCCTCTGCAGTGAATGGGTCAGAAGGAGAGTAGAAACAGCTGATAAAAACACAATAATTCAATAGTAATCCACACGACTCCAGTCCATCAATTAATGTTTTACATAAAAAGCTGCATGTTTGTAAGAAACAAATCCATGAATGCATTTTAGCTTTAGAGTGTTAATAATGCATAATCCATAATAACATTACTTTATGCGGAAAAAGTCAATCCCGTTATCCTCTCACATCCCAGTTTAGAACGGTTTTGGACTGTTTTCACTTGTAAATGGTGCTTTATCTGTGCATATCCATCTTGATTCATGAGACAACTTTTTCAATGGAGAAAGCAATATTTAATATTTCTTGATGGATTTGTTTAATGCAAACATGCAGCTTTTCGCTTCACAAGATGTTAACCAATGGACTGGTGACATGTTCATTGCTTGTGGATTATTGTGAGTTTATTTATTTTTTAATCCGCTGTTTATCAGCTCTTTCTGACGGCACACATTTATTGTAGAGGGCAATCAAGATGAGATTGCAGTGCACTTTAATCTTTAATTCAAGGGGTTGAAAGAAAATATAACATAAAATGCTTAGGAATTACAACCATTTTTATACTCAGCCCCCCATTTTTGGGTGCTCAAGTGTAATTGGACAAATAAATATTATCATAAATAAAATGTTAATTTTTAATATTTTGTTGAGAATCCTTTGCAGGCAATGACCCCTTTAAGTCTGGAACTGATGGACATTAGCAGAGACTGGGTTTCTTCTTTGTGATGCTTTGCCAGGCCTTTACTGCAGCTGACTTCAGTTGTTGTTTGTTTGTGGCTCTTTCTGTCTTTAGTTTTGTCTTCAGCGAGTGAAATGCAGCTCAATCGGGTTGAGATCAGGAGATTGACTTGGCCATTGCAGTTAAGTCTCTTGTAGCATTAAAGTATGACAAAAACATAAACTACTGTTTAAAGGTTAGGATAAGATTTAAAAAAAAGAAATGAATACTTATTCAGCATGGATGCATTAAATTGATTCAAAGTGACAGTAAAGACATTTACACTGATAAAAAAAAATACAGTTAGGTCCATATATATTTGAACACTTACACAATTTTCATCATTTTGGCTCTGTATGCCACCAGAATAGAATTAAAATGAAGCAATCAAGATGAGATTGCAGTGCACTTTAATCTTTAATTCAAGGGGTTGAAAGAAAATATAACATAAAATGCTTAGGAATTACAACCATTTTTATACTCAGCCCCCCATTTTTGGGTGCTCAAGTGTAATTGGACAAATAAATATTATCATAAATAAAATGTTAATTTTTAATATTTTGTTGAGAATCCTTTGCACTGCACGCTCACTGAAGCTCCAGAAGGAAACACCATGCAAGGGGTGAACATTTTTTGAATTTGAAGATCGGGGTAAATTGAACTTATTTTGTCTTCTGGGAAACATGTAAAGTATTTTCTGTAGCCTCTGAAGGGCAATACTAAATGAAAAAAATATGATATTTAGGCAAAATAAGAAAAATTGACACATCTTCATTCTCTTCAAAAGTTTTCAGCCCCCGGCTCTTAATGCATCGTTTTTCCTTCTGGAGCATCCGTGAGCATTTGAACCTTCTGTAATAGTTGCATATGAGTCCCTCAGTTGTCTTTAGTGTGAAAAGATGAATCTCAAAATAATTCCGTTATTGTTGGAAAGGGTTCAAATACACAAAAAAATGCTGAAAAACCAAAGAATTTGCGGGACCTGAAGGATTTTACTGAAGAACAGCAGGCAGTTTAACTGTTCAGGACAAACAAGGAACTCATGAAAAACTGTTACTAAACAAAACAAAAAAAAAACAGCTGTGGATCTTTCAGGTAACAACACAGTATTAAGAATCAAGCGTATGTAAACTTTTGAACGGGGTAATTTTTATAAATTCAACTATTATTTTCTCTTGTGGACTATATGTTAACATCTTTTATGTGAAATATTTTATTCAGGTCAGTACTAAATAAAAAATATCATGCATTTTGTATGATCCCTCTTATTTTGGTAAAATAATTAACATTTTGCAGATTCTGCAAGGTGTATGTAAACTTGGGTTCAACTGTATATACTAGCTATTTCAAATTATCAAATGCAAATCCAAGAATCCATGGTCAACATGCGTATGTGTCTGTGAGCTGCTGAATCTGTCGTGTGTGAATGTTCAGGTCAGGGGTGAAACATTTGGCCTATTCCAGCAATGCCTTGAGCACTATGTGTTCAGTTACAAGTAATGTTATTCCAGCTGGAATATATCGGTTTACATAATGACATTTTTAATTGTGCTTGGCCAGGCATGACAGAGTGAATTTTACAAGGATATACATTCTGCATACCCAGCTGCAAATGGCTCTGTGTCTTGGTCCCAGGGCCCCTGTGCTGCTTAGATAATAAAATGTAAAAGCTCCCATGATGCCTGGAGGGAACATTCATGTTCTGCCAACATTAGCGTAAGGGAATTGTCTTTTCTGCAGTGCAAACAAGCTATGAAACATGGCCAACATTGTAATTTCAGCAGCTAGCACCTTTCACCTGTTTGTGTGTTCTTCACTGTACATTAAATTATTAATCAAGGTGCCTCAACTATGTGACTGTTTTTTCAGACATCAGCCTGCAACTGGCAATAGAGTGGGAATTAATAATTGAAGGATTCTTACAAAAAGGGATTTGTGGTGGCATAAGTGGCCTCTTGTTCTCCAGGCACTGAGCCACTAAACTGGGGTGCACTGGGGTGAGCAAAGGTTAGAAAGACTAAAGGGTCATCCACAATATGATGCCTTCTTTTTAGAATTGGATGAAACAGGGAGGAAATGAACAGTGTTGGGCAGGTTACTCAAAAAATGTAATTAAATTACTTATTACTGATTACTCCTTTTAAAAGTAATCAAGTTACTGTTCTGATTACTTTATTTCAAAAGTTACATTACTAGTTACGTTACTTTTTTCTGTAGCTACATCCATGAAATTTACATTAAGTTCCAGTATAAACGCTCCCGGTAAATATTTATTATTAAAGCATCAACATTCACAAAACACTGTTATTTTTAAAGGGGTGATATGACGTTGCTAAAAAAGAACACTATTTTGTGTATTTGGTGTAATGAAATGTGTTTATG